TTGGGTAAAGGGTAGGTAACACCCCACCATCACCACCACTACCACCGCAGAAGAAAGACCCCTGATTCAAGGGCACAAATCACTTTCAAATACGATGGCCCCCATGCAGCTGAAGACAGGCAGGCACAGAAGGAAATAACAAACCACGATCAAAATCCAGTTGCAACAACAAAGCGCAGATCGTGAGCAAGCAGCCCCGGGCCCCAGGCCATCCCTTCCGGAAAGGACAGGTGAGCCCTCTGGCTGCCCCACGAGTACCTTCCCACCGCTTCCGGTGCTGCTCCTTGGCCTCCTTCTCCGGCTTCTCGGCCTCCTCCTTCACCATCCGCAGCATCTCCACCTGGTCCTCCAGGGACTTCTTTCCCTCCTGCAGCTCAGTGAGCTTTTTCTGGGTGAGGAGAAGGCAAGAGCCCAGCTCTCACGGGGCCTCCGCTCCACAGGCCACCAGGAAGGCTCACTGGGGCTTCTCCTCTCACTCTGGTTCCCAGGGCCCTCTAGAGATGCCCAAACACCTCATCCCAGTCTTGAGCCCCTGTCCACCCCTACCGTTCCACCTGCTCCATCACTTCTCACACGAGGCTCCGTCTGTCCTTAACAGTCAGACCCCCAAATGCCCTTCGGCCACTCTGATCCATCTGCCTGCCACCCTCCCCCCGGCCAACTCTAAACCTGTAAGAGTGTGCAGCTGGGATGGAGGGCTCCTCCTCCAGGAAGCCTTCTCTACCACCTACCCTCGAGAGGAGGAGTGGGGGGTGGAGGGTCTCTGGTCCCTGAGCTTCCCTTCGCTCCACGCCCTGGGTGTGCCTCCCACTAGACGTGTCCCAGAGGCAGGTCCTTCTGCCCCACCCAGGACACACACTGTGGGCATTTTCACCAAGAATGCTCGTACTGGGGGGAGGGGGCACTCCAGCCTAAGAATGGGAGTGGGACGTGCCCAAGTTGCCAGGGTCTTAGGTCACTCAGCCATCAGCCAAGTCCGAGTCCCCAGGGGACCGCATTCTTTTCAAAACCTTGGTCAACACCTGACCCTGGCTTCCTGTCAGGATCCCCTAGTTCCCCCTCCCTGCTGCCTCCAACCACCCAACAGGGCTAAGGTCACTTAGCGTTGACACCCCACCCCCAACATAGCTACCCCCTTCTTGTTCTGTGAACTTGGGCAGGGCTTGGGGTAGGAGAGATCTCTCCTACTCAGATCTGGATCTGAGTCCTGGCTCAGCAGGTCAGACAGAAGTCCAGGGACAGTCCTGTGGACTCTGGCCCTTCAAACAGAGCCAGGTGGTAGGCATGGGAGAGAGGGACAGCTGGGGACATGTGTTTTGGGGTCACAAGTACCCACCCTATGGAACCCAAGGGCCCCTGGGGGGTTTGCCCCAGAACTGGGCACTCATGCAGTCAGCAGTCTCACCTTCAAGATGGGGACTGGGGGTGGGGTGGGGAGGAGGCACCCCTCCACCTCCAGGAGTTGGCAAAGCTACTTCAACCCAGGTTGGCCTGATACCCCAGGCTCTGCTCAAGACCTCGGCGCCCACTTGGCAACTGTGGCCCCAACAGCCACACCCCCAATGAGGCCTCAATGAGCCAACCAAGCAGTAACTCACCCCAGGAAAACACTAGTTTTTTTCTTTGGGGGTGGGGGCGTGGTGACAGAGATGTAACCCCCAGCCAGCTCTGCCTGCCTGCTTGGCCAGCCCACGCCTTCAGAAGAGCCCTGGACCAACTGGGAACAGCTGGAGCGCGTGTGAGTGTATGTGTATGTGTGGTGGGGGGTGGGATGGGGCGGAATGTGTGTGTGTGTGTGTGTGTGTCCCCTCACCTCCTTCTCCTCCCGGGCCTTCTTCCAGTCCTCAATGAAGATCTTCTTCAGGCGGAAGCCCTCCCGGGTGACCTCGGCCATCTGCTGCAGCGTCTCCCTCTCCTTCCTGCCCTTCTCTCTGGGAGGCGAGGGAGACACACAGGCCACCACTAGGGGGCACTCAGGGCCCACCAGGTCTGCCTCTTGCAAAGGGCTCAACCCGCAGGGGGGGTGGGGGTCCCTCCCCACAGCGAAAGATGGAGAGCTAAGTCCCAGCCAGCCCAGGTGTCCCTGGTCACAGGGCCATACACCCCCGGCTTGGATGAGGAGCAGCTGCCACTGGCTCAGGCTCAGGGTCAGGGTTAGGGAGCGCTGGGAGCTGGGGTCCAAGTGGGCTCCCCCACACATAAAGGGCAAGTCACGCTCCCAGACAGGCAGCCTGGCCAGTCAGCAAGTGTTCACTCCTGAAACACCCTGGGCCTGGAAGCACGTACACCAGTGGTTCTCAACC